GCAGAGCGATATCGAGGCCCCCATAGACGCCATTTAGAGGGCCGTCGCCGGTGTGCATTATACAAGCGTAAGTGTAGATATCAGGGCTTCCAAAACCCTCCTGAGAGAATGCGTGATGCCATACGCGACACCACTCCGACCACCCGTGATCCCACCACCACCACCACCCACCCCCTCCACCCATCCGATGCTTCACCACGGCCCCGCACACCAAACGTCCCATCCCCAAACCCATATCCCACACCACAACCTCCGACCCCACCGGCACCCTCATCACCCTCTGCGCCCCCATCCCCAGCGACCACTCCCTCACCATCGAGCTCGCCCCGCACCCGCGCCTCGACGTCCTCGACCCAAATCCCCGTATCTGGCACATTATTGACGCCAGCGGCTTCGCCCTCGATAAGAAGTGGGATGTTTGGAACTGCGTGAATAATACGGAGCCGGTGCTGAATAAGGTGCGGGCGCTGCAGAATAGGGGATTGAGTGCTGGGGTGGTGGATGCGGTGTTGGAGTTGTTGTTGGCGGATGAGAGGTACGCTGGCGAGGAGGAGGGGGAGGGGGAAGGGGAGGAAGTGTTGTAGTAGGAGGGGCGATAGTCTTTTTTTTGGTGAATAGTTGATATTTGATAAGGGTCCGGACGAGTTGGATGAATCGTGGGCCCCCTTTTTTTTGGAAACGCGGAATTTCCTTTTCGTATATACTAGCAGTTGATGCAACACAATATCGTGACATAGGCTGAATGTACATTGCGCCGAACCTCCATTGACCTCATGCATAATTTCGTACAAACTACATCAACCGCCCGACTCCCAACTCAAGTCACTCTTACAGTATATACCTTCAACACGGGCCGCACAAACTCCCTCCCCTCTCTACGGCCTAACCTCCATCCCGCCCTCGCCCTTCAACGCCTTCTGAAACGCATCTCCGCCCAAAATCTCTTCGACCTTCCTCATTACCGCGCCCTCCCTCCTGCTCCCAAATCCATCCTCATCGCCCTCGACTCCCGCCCTCAACGCGCCCTCCAAGCCCTCATACTCCCAAATATTCGCCTTCATGCCAACGCCATGATACTGATGTTTAAGTAAAAACGCCAACCACGCCTTGACGACATCTGGATGGCCATCCTGAATCTGAATCAGACGGCGCATGGTGATGCGCTCAAAGTTCTCCTGGGATTTTTTGAAAATGAAGTTGGAGCGCGGGACCGTCCAGCGCTCTGTGATGCGGGGCAGAGGAATTGGGCCGCGCGCAGGGAGGCCGAGATAGTAGGCTGCGCGGACGGCGAAGTCGGCGAAGAGGAGCAGGTTGCGGATGCTGTAGGTACGGAGCTGAAGGTCGCAGACGGGGACGCCGTATTCGGGGCTGCGGCGGAGGGGCCGGAGGTGCACGGCGCGAACGTTGATGGGGGTGCGAAGGCTGTCGAGCGCGGCTTGGGTCTGGGGGTCGAGTGGTGGGGGGTCGTTGGGGAGCGTTATGCCGCGTTCCCTGTGCGTGTGTCAGTATATGCAAAGGGGGGAGGGGAGGGTGGAGAGGTACTTTGCGACTTTGATGGGCTCGACGCCGGCTCGCTTGTACATGTGTAGGAGGGTGAGATGGTCGGGTGTGTCCTGCATTTCCTTCCACTTCTTTTGTGCTTCTTCGCGGGTCTGGGGTTCCCATTCTGCCAGCCGTTCGTTCGCACGTTGTTGGCTGTGCCATAGTCTACCATGAAGTCAGTATATCTCACTTCCTCGCCTGATCAGTCATCGGTCGATTGTACTTTTTGAACTCGTCCGGGTCGAAGCCCATGTCCTGCAACCGCGCATCAAGCGGCATGTCCCCATTGCTGATATCCGCCTTTAATTGATCCATTAGTCTCACATCATTCTTCTCACTGTGCCCGCCATCGTCGTCCTCGCTCTTGGATGACTTCGCCCGCGAGAAACTCTGTGTGCATGGTCGAGGGGCGTGGACAATCTGTTTGCGCATCAGCATCTTCCCTCTGGTGCCACTGATTCAATATTGTACAAAGCTTACCTTGACCCTCTTTGCCGGCCCCAAAAAGGAACGCATACACCGTGGCGCGGCCATGATTGCTGATGGTCGCGTTGCTCTCGCACACTGACATCCGACATTGAACTTCTCGACCAGCCGCACTAGCGCATATCCGTCTTACCGCCCTGGGCAGTACCGCCTGTCGGAATTGGCCGCGCCTTCCCCCTCCAACCTTAGATTGTGAAAATATCATACAAGTCAGCGAGACAGTCATTTCCCGAGTATATTTGGTATAGATTTCCCTCATGCCAACGCTGTCTTCACAGAGCCATCCTACATTTCGCGGCTACAAGATTCAATAATCATGGCCGACGCACTCTCTGTATCAACGAGCGCATATGTCCGCGCTACCGAGACCGCCGAATATGTGCGCTCTCAGCTACCCGAGGTGCTCCAAAAGCCCAAGATAGCCATCGTCTGTGGCTCCGGTCTTGGTGGGCTTGCAGAGACCATCGAATCAGGCCCCAAAGTTGAATTGGCATACGCAACGATTCCCAACTTTCCTCAGAGCACGGGTAAGCATTTCTGATGGTACATTGAGAGAAGAATCTCGAGTACACCATGTATTCATTTATAAACTTGCTGACATTCTGCTCATAGTTCAAGGACATGCTGGTAAATTCGTCTTCGGTCAGATTGGACCTCAGAAGACGCCTGTAGCCTTGTTGGTTGGACGTGCACAGTCAGTCCTCCTTGGAGACACTGGTTCCAAGATAGTAGTGGTGCTAACGAAGCCAGCTTCTACGAAGGTCACAGCATGGACGCCGCCACCTTTGCTACCCGAGTGTGCAAACTTCTAGGAGTTGAGACCATCATAGGTATGTCAAGAATTACTCTACAACGACATCATCATCTGACCGACGTGCAGTCACCAACGCAGCCGGCGGTCTGAATCAAACTTACCGTGTTGGAGACATTGTATGCTTGAATGACGTAAGCTGGCACTCTTGATAGTTTAGTGGCATCCGATTGACATGCAGTAGCACTTATTCCTGGCTGGCCTTACCGGCGTCCATCCGTTGCGGGGTCCCAACATTGATGAGTTTGGTGTGCGATTTCCTCCGCTCTCAGACGCATACGACCTGGATCTAAGAAGACGAACTCACAAAGCCTGGAAGCAGCTCGGGCTTGACCAACAGGAAAGGCGACTGCACGAAGGTGTATACGCATTTGTGGCTGGTCCAACGTACGTTAATCCTCTCCCTCCCTGAAGGTCGCACGTCCTAGATGAAAGTTGATCATCCCAAGATACGAGACGCGTGCTGAATGTCGAGCACTGACTTTGCTTGGTGCCGATGTTGTCGGGATGTCGACGGTCCCAGAAATCATTGTCGCACGGCATGCAGGCATGCGAGTACTCGCCTTCAGTCTCGTGACAAATGTGGCTGTCCTTGAAGCCGGACCTCGAGGGGACGATGCTGAGATCCAGAGTATGAGCCAGGTAGAGCTGACGGCGCATCTAAGCAAAGGTATGGCAAATCACCAAGAGGTGTTGGACGCGGGCCGTGAAGCTGCCAAAGATATGCAGGCGCTGGTAAAGCAGATCGCGTCGGATCTATAGGCAGCATACGGTTGTAGACTTCTGTGGCATTATGTATCGCAGAAGCCTGCGAAGGCCTTCTATGACCATGATTCCTGTCACTGGATCTTCGAGCCTGAAATCACTTTCTATCGAACTCACGATCGGTGTGCATTCAGTCCGGAGGGCCAGAGCGTGCGCGTCACGGTCGTTTTTCGCCGTCGAGCATAATCATCATACTCAGGTGATTCTCAAGAATACCGTGATCACGGCTTGATGACCTTGCCCTTATTCCGCTTTGCCTTGAGTGCTTTGTAGAAACTCTTCTTTCCGCTGCTCTTGGCTTTCGAGATGTCATCGTATTTCCTCTTGAAGCGTCCGTTGGCTTGTTCCTGAGATACAATCTCTTCTAGTAGAGTCTGCTTGCGTTCCTTATTCGTCAAGCGGCTACTGTAGAATTCGGTGGCGCCCTCAATGATCGTCCCAACCTGCGAGTATTCTGGCACGTCGTTCTTGGAGTTGTCCTTTTTGTAGTGGCGCTTTGGATCGAGAACGTTTCTCATCTTGAGTAGCTGCAAGTCTCGGCGCAGCTCAGGGGTGAGCTCAGTCTTTGGCATATTGAACCATTGGGCTCCAGCACTGGCTTTCTTCTCCTGTTGGTTGTCAGTTGACTGCATGGCATACAGAAAAAAGGGAAACCAAGAAGTAGCAAATGCCTCAGTGTAACTATGAACTAAGAAAACCTTCAGTTTGGCAGGAGAGCACCCAAGACGGGGCTCCAGTCTGCTCAGTACAAAATTTGGGATAGATATCATCACGGGCATTGAACAAGTATTACGGGGAATGCAAGCACGTACCTCTTTTCTTTTCTTCCGGATTTGAAGAGGATCGTCAATCTTCTTGATGCGACTAGCGAGCGCCTGCTGCTCTTTGTCGATGAGCTTGGACTTGTCTAAGCGTGTGATGTTGCCCTCTGTTGTCTCATATGTGTCGGCAATGTGACCGGGCCTCAGCTTGGGAAGCTTGAAAGGAGCTTCGGTGGAAGACTGTGAAGCAGCCTTGGCCTGCATTCGTTGGGCAGCTTCGGTAAACAGCTCGCGGATTTGCTCATCGCTGAGTTCTTCATCGGTGTCATCCCCAAGAAGAGGCTGGTGCGCTGGCAACGACTCCATGTTTGATGTTGCAGGTTTGGGATACACAGAGGAAGGGAGGATTTTTTTTTTGACCGGAGCTTTTCTTGAGACCCTGTTAAAGCACGAGCCAGGTCGGTAAAATTAGGTTCCGGGATGCTCACCTCGGCCACTTCAAGTTCACCACCACCATGGCCACCATGACGATGGCAGGAGTCCGCTTCATTTTCCCCTGGCAGACGCTCCGTGTTGGGAGGCTATGATGCATGCGTGCATATCATGGCGCAAGTCGAGTAAACCTGGCAGATGAACAACTCATCACGATACATCATTGGCGTGACGTGCGGGGCCAATCATGGAGCAGATGGCCGGCCAATGGCCATTCCATCCCACCGTGGTTCTCCTCCCAGCTGGCGCGGGATCCTTTCTACGGCGCCATAGCATAGTGTTGTTGCGTCTAGAGTAGTGTCTAGTGCTAGGTATCGCCTGAGTGCAAGGTGTATTGCCCCTAGCAGACTGCCGTCACCTTCAGCTGGGTAATGATCTCGATGCGTTCAAGCCCGGCCGCGTGCGGAAGGACGAAGATGTGACAGCCGGCAGAAGTGCATTGTAGTCGTGCTGTCAATTTCTACCGCGATGGTGCGCTATAAGCAAAGCAGCACCGGTGCGATGCTGTCCGAGAGCTGTCACCACAAAGACTGTCTTCCTCTTACCCCCCACAAGAGCTGGCAAAAGAAACTTTCGATTCGATCAGCAGGCGTGCAGTCCATCCACCAGCCTGTGTGGTTTGTCTGCACTGTACACCGTGCAGCGAATTGCGCTGTTCTGCCATCGACATTGCTCGTTGCTCGTTGTTCGTTATTCGTTGTTCCTTGTCATTGTCGTTGTCGTTGTCGTAGTGTGTTCCTGAGTAACGTTAGGCTGCCCTTGCTTAGTCGCTCGAGTGTGGTTCGTTGACTCGTTAGAGGGGCGACGAGGGCATCCACCAACGGTGGCCAACCAAGCATCAACTCCGCCAGAATATAATCGCGCCGGAATTTGATTCGTCGGAGAACATCGCACAGGTGAGTCGCATTTCCATACTGTACAGAGAAAGAGACCTGGACGAGCAGCGCGTGCAATACAGCAGCAAGCTCACCCTCACTCACACCATGGCAGGCCGCACACAGAGAACGGTACCGCACAGCCGTAAAAGCCAGGTACCTGCGCCTCCCCCCGCCGCCCTGAGAGCTATCTGCAGCTTCGCCCGGCCACTCAGACCGCACCTTTGGACGCAACCACCACCACGAAGCTCCTCTCACCACGCGCCCACCACGATCCTCTGAGCAGCCATTGGACGTCGCGCATAGATTCCTGCACCCTCCCGTCGCCTCTGAGCTTGCGCTGCCACTGCAGAGCCGGCGACGAACACGTGAACCCTGCCATCGCGTAACCTCTGCGCGACACAGCCGCCGCCGCCGCCTCCGCCATGGACCAAGTCAACCTCCAAGGCCACGGCCAGCAGAAGATGCGCCAGGCTCCCGCCGCACCCCGTCGCTATGACGGACAGGGCGGCAATCCGTTGTACGATCCGGCCAATGGCGGTCATTACGGTATGTTGGCGCACTGCTGCCCACGACACTGCCCCGTGTCGCCTTCATCCTACCTGAATCTCTAGCTGACAAGGCTCCAGGCGCCTCTGCATTTGTATGTCTTCTGCGCGCCCATGCTGATCACCCAGCTCCCGCGAAACACACACATATATACATATAGGCGCTGATTATTTTGGTCCAGATTGCCTCGCAAGGTCACGCTCCCGACCCACAGCTCTTCACCGGCTCGTGGCAAAATGTATGTCACCAGAGGTTGATATTGGCATCTAGGGACGGCAGACTGACGATTACAGGTCAACCAGGGGCTTTCGGGCAACTACCGTGATATCCTGAACACGTACTGGCAGCAGCAAGTCACCAAGCTCGAAACGGACGAGCACGACTACAAGCTTCACCAGCTTCCGCTGGCGCGCATCAAGAAGGTCATGAAGGCTGATCCGGAAGTGAAAATGATTTCGGCCGAAGCCCCCATTCTGTTTGCAAAAGGCTGTGACATCTTCATTACAGAGCTCACCATGCGTGCCTGGATCCATGCAGAGGAGAATAAACGCCGCACTCTGCAGCGGTCCGACATTGCTTCAGCATTGTCCAAGTCGGACATGTTTGACTTTCTCATCGACATTGTCCCTAGAGAGGAAGCCCATCCTCACAAGAGAAGTGCTGGGCAAAACGCGACCGTTCAGTCGTCGGCAGCAGTCGTGCCCCCTGGCGGTATGCCTCAACCTGTGCACGCCCAACATCAAATGGGGCCGCCCACAGACTACGGCATGGGACAACACATGCCCCAACAAGAAGACTTTCGCCAGCCCACTATGTACCCAGGACCTGTACAGGGTGACCCGGGCGCGTATGGTCAACAGCAGATGTTCGATCCCAATGTGAATGTTTATGGAGCTTATCCAATGGCACAGCAGCCACAGATGTACCCCGTTGGACAGCGAGGCCCTGATCCTAATGCTGGGGACCCTCAAGGCGGGTATCGTCATGAAGAGGCTGATGCTGATGCCGAGGGTGAGCGCGAGGACTTTGGCCCCTAGCGGGGGTCACCACCCTCGTGGTAAGGGTAGATTCACTCGGTGAATGGTCGGTATGGGCACGACAGGTGTACGGAATGACGACAGAACTGTGAATTGATCTTGGATACGGCGTTTTGGACTATGGGTAACAGAACGGCCGCGGAGGCCTTGGCTGGGCGTCACGTGGCAGATACCAAGCAGACATGTGTATTTAGCTAGCAATAGATTGTTTCCCTTCTACCTTGGTGAAGAACGCGTTTGAGGATGGTTTATGCGCCCGATCTCTTCCGACCATGGAACCGACAACGGAACCAACAATGAAACAAGGCCTGGGAACCACCGAGACATCCCCCAGAATGCATGCATCATGCATTGTCTTGTGCTTTTCCCATTGCAACAACATATAAGGCGCTTACCCAACGTTAAATGTCAACTTGTACCCACGTCCAACATCGTGAAACCGTCTCAGTACCCCGCCATTGGCCCGTGCTGAGCCTAGACACACCCCACCTTCCAGGAGCCAACGCGTGGACTGAAGCTACTTCTTCTCAACACACTACTGCTCCTCCTCTGATTTCTCCTCACTGCTTCTCTTGCCTTCCTCATTAAACTTCAAGTCTTACACCCCCCCCGTACTTTATACGTTTTCCCGTCAAGATGGTCAAGGCAGTTGTTGCTGGTGCGGCAGGAGGCATTGGACAGGTGAGTTGAAGCGATGATCAGGCGTCTCGATGAAGCTGTCAGAGGCGGACGACAGCTGCATTGGTTCACATACAGACAGACCCAGTTTACAATGGTACATTACATTGCTAACCCCTTGGTAGCCTCTGTCCCTCCTTCTCAAGTCCTGCCAGCTTGTTGACGAGCTTGCTCTCTACGATGTTGTCAACTCCCCCGGCGTTGCTACCGATCTGTCACACATCTCCACCCCAGCAGTACGCTTACCTTAGATGATGGAACAAATACCACAGGATTGCTAAGCTCGATTAGAAAGTAACGGGATACCTTCCCAAGGACGATGGTCTGCAGCATGCCTTGACTGGCGCTGATATCGTAGTCATTCCCGCCGGTATTCCTCGTAAGTAGGAGTTACTCGGTCCACCTTCGCCAGCTCACACCGCTCAGGCAAGCCCGGCATGACCCGTGACGATCTCTTCAAGATTAACGCTGGTATCGTCCAGGGTCTGATTGAGGGTGTCGCCAAGTTCTGTCCCAAGGCCTTCGTCCTCGTCATCTCCAACCCTGTCAATTCGACCGTCCCCATCGCCGCCGAGGTGCTCAAGAAGGCTGGCGTCTTTGACCCCAAGAAGCTCTTCGGTGTCACCACCCTCGATGTCGTTCGTGCCGAGACATTCGTTGCCGAGATCACTGGCGAGAAGAACCCCGGAAAGTTGAACATTCCCGTCATTGGCGGTCACTCCGGCGAGACCATCGTCCCTCTCTTCAGTCAGGCACAACCCAGTGTCAACATTCCCTCCGACAAGCTAGACGCGCTCGTGAACCGCGTGCAATTCGGTGGTGACGAGGTCGTCAAGGCCAAGGAGGGTGCTGGATCAGCCACTCTTTCCATGGCCCACGCTGGATACCGTTTTGCCGAGAAGGTCATCAGGGCGTCCAAGGGTGAGAAGGGCATCGTTGAACCCAGCTTCGTTTACCTTCCTGGCGTCGAGGGTGGCGATGTCATCTCCAAGGCCACTGGCACTGAATTCTTCTCTGTGCCTATCGAGCTCGGCGTAAGTGATGAAACAGCTATGCATCGCTTGTGCGGTCACTAACACTTCAACAGGTCAGCGGTGCTGAAAAGGCCATTGATCTTGTCAGCAAGGTCAACGACCATGAAAAGAAGCTTCTCCAGGCTTGCTACGACGGTCTGAAGGGCAACATCGCCAAGGGTGTCGACTTCGTTGCGAACCCCCCTGCCAAGTAAGCTGTGATGTCTTACCGCTTATACAACCGGCTTTCTTCTCAAACAGAGCACTGACAGCTGGTGGTAGATAAATTGAAGCAGTCCATCGAATATGATGATAGATGAACTTTTACGAAAATACGTCTTAGCGTGGTATGATTCCACCCTTGCCAGAACATGGATGGATCTGTCGATCCTGGTCAGATAGCTCAAAATGAAAAGCTCTGTGCCATTGTGTCGTCCCTTCATGCCTATGATCTGCCTTACAACATTCAAAATCCGTAACGCCTTGCAATGCCGCTAAAACAAGTTCTGTGCGACTTTTAATGTTCAATTCTTGGCTCCCGCTGTTCGTATTTGGAAAGTCGCGCCAGGTAACGCTAATGACTCCGCAGTGACGGTCGCCGTTATTCCCAGAGAGGCCAGACATCCCCTTATAAGACCTGCCGGGAAGTAGAGAAAGGGCTGCACTCGCGCTTGACTATTCGCGTCCCGACCTAATGCTACATCCCCAGTCTGTGCTACCAGCGCTGCCTGCATTGCCGCATCAAATTTTTTGGTATCAAAGCTCATTCGCGTGAGTGGTTTGAACGTATTATCCGTGAGCACATAGATGCCACGATGATTTGTCTTGAGGTTATCGATCTGCTTGCGGAAGAGCAACGTCCATAGATCTTTGCAAAGGAACTTGATAGCATCCAAGGGCGCAGTTGGTCGTGGTGCGTCGCGGGAGAACCTACACGGCATGCATCATCAGTAAAAAGCCAAATAACCCAGCACTTGCACTAGGAGAAGTGGAGCATGCAAGAAAGCCAACATACCGTTCCACAACCCCCAAACCCACTCTGTACCCCAAACTCTCCAATCGATGAAACACCGCCTCCCGTGCCTCCTCCTCATCTATCGTCGCCGTCCCGCCCACAGGCCCCCCGTCTGTCCCGGCGCCCCCTCGTACTGTGCCAGCCGTTGTGCTGGACGCGTCATTGCTTGTGCTGGAATTCCGCTTCGGCCGTGCTGCAGAGGAAGACCCGTGTATCCATTCGTCTTCTCGGGCGGCAAGATCGGCGGTTATGCGGTAAGCCATGGGGACGAGCTCGATTAAGAGGAAGTCGAGGCATGTACTGTTGAGGAGGGAGAATGTGGGGTCCGTGTAGGAGGAGGAGGGTTCGGATGTGGTTGGCGGGGTGGGACTTGCCATTGTGGGCAGAATTGAGGAATGATTGCCTTGGGGTTCTTGTTCTTGTGGTCGTCGTATCGTATAGAGGAAACTTGGTTGGCAATGTGGGTGATTGTACGAGCAATTGCGTTCTGGTGGAGGTCCGAGGCGGATACAGGGGCGCTTGGTCAGCGCAAAGCGACGTACACTGATAGCTTCAGTCGCAAAGGTTATTGGTACGACCTAGAGTGGGTTTCTTGGAGAAGCTAAGGCGACCATGTGTAAGCTGTTGTATGCCTTTGCAGTTGACATCTGGTGAGCCGCGGTCGATTAGTCGGCAAGGGTCCATGGCTTGGCGCCAGGTATAATTCTACGCGCGATCCCAGTTGCATACAACTATTCCAACTTTTTCCACCTACATGGTCATTGGGGTTTTGTTGTGCTTCTCCGCAGAGAAATCATGAGAGACGGTGGTACATGCTATCCGAAAAGCATTTGCGGCTTTCGCTGTCTCATCAGCCATCGTGTATTTGATGTCACCAATGGCCAAATACCAAAGCTATGGACGTGGAGTTTTCACACTGTCGTTTCTTCCTCCTTTTGAGCAAAACTACCTCCAGATATCAATTTTTTCTGTCGCCATGGCAAATACAACAGAAAATCCTGTGCCATAGGCCGCCTGCACAAAGAGTGCAGAATATGACCCGGCTACCTACCGCGACGCTCGCAAATCCGCTTCACCACGGTAATAGTTATGACTCCTAAATGGCTAAGAAATAATATGTCAAAGACAATGTTTTATCAAGTCACTGCTTATTCTATCCAAATAAGTCAAGATGTATTATACGACCGACACCGCTTATGCTTGACGCTACGATGATCACGATTCACATAAACTGTGGCATTGAATTAATTTGGTTAGAGCTCTGGTAAAGCGCATTGCATATCTTCTGCACAGGTAAATGCATCGTTCTTTTCCTTCTCTCGAGGCGCTGAGAGCCGAGACTGCTTTGTCAGTTGTAATACAGTTCTCTCGCAAATTGCTATCCTCGATATAAACCACTGGAAGAACTGTTAAAGACTGATACAGTGAGAGTAGAAGTGGCTGACATCTGGATCTTGCAGGTTTCCAATTCCTAGAATGGAGCATTGATTTCCCACACTTTGCTGTCTACTTTGGGTTACAGAATTGTTCTAAAGGGTTGCTTTCACAGTCTCTGTGACGAACAGTTCTAAAATCAAACTAGTGTCCGCCTAACATCACGCTTGCTTCCATAGAGTACACCCACGCTTCCGTATGCGTCAGCTCATCGCTTATATCCACGTTCCAACTTTCGTTCCAATTTTCGTTCCAACTTTACGCAGATATCATGTCTTCTCCGTCAATTGCTCAGGATAATAGGCGAGCTGCAGTAGCTAGGGTGAGGAAGATCTTGAGCGCGCCCCTGACTGCCCCCTGAGTCGCTCGGGCCTACCCAGACCCCAGAGACTTTGCTCACAGGGGCGGCTTCCAGTTCACGGGCCAGCTGTGGGCTGCGACCACCACACAGCCCTTAGCCAAGATTCATGTGCCTCTAACTCACATTCTGCGGCCAAAATTCTATTCCATTCCCGCGAAAGGTTCCGGCAGACAAGGGAAACCTACAATGGACTAATCGAAAGCCCAATAGCAAATGAGAATATGAAAGCTTCCATGAAGATGAAGTTCTAGAAAGACATCACGGGTCATCACCACCCAACTGCTGCAGACCTAGCAGTATGTCTGGGCGGAAGTGGAGTTTACTGACAAGCTCTGAGATGTAGTGGAGTCGGAATGCTTCTTAAGGCCTGGCATCTAACCCCTGGAACGATCCCATGGACCAGGGCAAAAAGCCTGTGTAATACTGTTGTACATCTAATGTCCTTGGTATCTAGTAGTATGTACGGTCATGCCATTCAAAGCGCGATTCGAGCAACTGAGCACGCGCACCCTAGGAGAGACGATTTAGCAACGGGTTTTGCGTTTTAGAGTGTGACAGTTCACTACTCGGTGTACACCAACTGCGTAGGTGATGTAAAAGTATAACCAAACTCGAGTACAAAACTATCGAAGTCACCTGGAATCTGCCTCCAGCGTCCCTGTAAGGATGTCTCGTCGAGTTCCGTACTACTTTGAGAGAACTTAAGCCCACTGTCAACGCAATTTTCGGTTGAGCATGCTCAAATCTGCATCCCGCGTAACAATTTGTGTCAAGTAAATGGGTGGTGTTCTACAGCATGGCAGTCAGCGCCTATTTTGTGGTACTTTTATCTCGGAAGCTTACCACCCATCCCCAAACAACAGCCGGACTGCCCCTGGGACGACGCACGAGTACCGACATGCCTGATGAGGCAGGCAGGGCAGGGCAGGGCAGGCATGCAAAAATGCATATATGCGGCCAAATGAGCAGGTAGCGGAGAAGCATAATGTTGCGCGCATGTCTGTGGACCCGTATTGCTGTGACGTTGCAGCATCGGAACGTGTCATCTAGGTATCTTTCATTCCTCTCCCGCTTCGTATATTCATAGTATGGTAGTAGCGCTAGAGTCTGAGAAAATGCTTAGAACAGTATCGCCAAGTGCCAAGATCCTATGAGATTGACCAATTGGATAGTAGTGGATAAGCCGAAGAAGTTTAATACCTTGAAATACCCGCTTTTGAGTTTGGCTAAGGTACGGTACAATAGGCCATTTCCGTGCGTGCCGTAGTGGCTTTCGGCCAAATCCTAGTACCGGTAACTCGTGCAAGAGCCACAGCCCCCTAATCATGAGTGGTTCATTCAACTGGGCTACATGGGGTATCATCGTCTGTTCGTATTCTTTAAGCTTAAACAAATTAGCTAGCCAGGACAGCCAAACTCTCAACTTTTCATTCGTCCCTGTCAAGCTTCCAGAACAACGTGACTCGGGGTGGCCATCACTTGTTGGCCGAGATGTGGGTAGGCAATTCACGAGGACTGCCTTCTATGAATAGAATAGTTCAACGGGATCTCGTGTCGGACCGCTAGTTCAACGTTTGTATGTGGCAGTGGCTCAAATGTGTATATATACCGATTTCACTCCAGCATTCTAGAAGACACAGAGAACGCTGAGTTTCACAACACGTTCGCTTCTTGTCTTCTCACATACAGGTTTACCTTCGCTTGTACATATATCATACATTCGCTTTTTACCTTAATTTGGCCTTTTCCTGTGAATCCAGCGAGTCTCAGTTGTTCTTCCTCGTCTGCTGAGAATACCTGGAAAGACTTTCTCGAGCACATCGAATCCATCTCATCATACACCATGAAGTGGGATTTAATAGCGAAGCTGGCGCTAGTCGCACCAGCTTCAGCGGAATATGTCTGGCCAGCCAAAACGGACGCAATGGACGATCTGCTCTTCAATCAAGCTGGCTACAACCGTAATGGCGCTCTTTCAGACCGTACGTATTTAGGTGTCACCAGGCGAAAAATCCAGCATACACTAATGCATTGTAGAGGTTAAGGATTGTGCCTTCGGCGCTTTGGAGCCTGGTATTCAAAAGTCCGCTGAATGTAAGAAAATTCGTGCTCTCTCGGGCCAGTCATGAAACGCCTTGGAATGTCTACTAATGTCAGTTCGTAGGGCTCCGAACTGCTTTCCATGACGCTGTGACCTACGATAAAGATGCTAAGACTGGAGGTCTGGACGCCTCGATACAATATGAGCTGGACCGCCAAGAAAATTTGGGCTCTGCTTTGAACAGTACCCTGGCAGATATCGCCAGCTCAGTCAATGTCCACAACTCCGCAGCCGATTTGATCGCCCTTTCTATGGTCATGGCTGTGGCTCGTTGTGGTGATCTCCGTGTCCCACTTAGAACTGGCCGCAAGGACGCGACAGTTGCTGGTCCCATGGGTGTTCCAGAAGCCCACACTGATCTCGAGACTTCCAGACGGAGATTTGAGATGGCCACCTTCAACCAGTGTAAGTAGTCTTTTTATCCTGCCTGTTGCCTGCACGCAACGTTATTAACACATCGACACAGCCGAAATGATCACTTTGATTGCATGTGGGCACACCATTGGAGCAGTACACTCCGTCGATCATCCTGAGATTGTGTCCGGAACACCTGCGCCTGAAAACATCGCCCATTTCGATACCACCAACGACTCATTCGACAATGCTGTCGTCACTGAGTTCCTCAACAACTCCACCACCAATCCTCTGGTTGTCAACACCAACGACACCCTGAACTCAGACAAGCGCATCTTCAACTCTGACGGCCATGCCACCATGAAGAGACTGATGGATCCAGCTCACTTCAAAGCTCAATGCGAAGTTCTCCTCGAGCGTATGATTGATGTGGTACCCGGAGACGTCCAACTGTCTGAGCCTCTCAGGCCATCAGAAATCAGACCATACATCGACGTCTACCAACTCGACACCAACGGCTCCATCCAATTCTCTGGTTCGGTCCGTGTTCGTGTTTCGGCCGATACGGGCCGTGATAGCGAGGCTCTCACAGTGGCCCTATTGCCCACCTATCACGACGGGAAAGAGGGTGCAGTTATCTCGACAACCCCCGCCAGATGGCAAGGCGGCATGTCCTCCGGCTACCTCCGCGAAGTGTTTAAATGGCATGAATTCAGCCAGACGCTACCTGCCAACCAAGCTCTGAAGACGTTCAACCTCCGTCTTGACAACACCACCTTTGACAATGCCGGTACGGGTGGCTACCCCGTCAACCCAGACATTCTCTACCAACTCCGTCAATCTTGCATCAAGTATGACCTTGAGTCGCTACCCCAGAACGGAACCTTGACGATTGTGGCCGCTGTCTCGAAATCCCTTCTCAGCACCGGTGCTGTACCCAAGATCCGAGTCATCCACAGGATTGAACAACCGCGAAACTTCATCCCGGCCCTTAAGCCTGAAGTCATTGAAATGAAGCGAAGCGACAAGGAGACTAATGAGTACGTTTATTACACTGTTGACGCGAATGTTCGTTCGAACAGTCTTGAGACTAGCTTTGATTTGGAAGCGGGCGATTCGAAGGTCGAATTTCTTCGCACGGATCAGCTTCAAGGTGGAAAGTTATGTGAGCCATTATAGGTTGTATAATTTATAGACAGTCATTTAGCGATCGATACCATGTTTATGTCAATATAAGGGATAGCACATGATTACGTTTATACAAATAAGGAGAGTTATGCTTCTGAAGAAGCCAAAATCAACCATTGTTAGACGTCACTCATTACCCAGCTCACGGTAGTATGGAGACAATATCGGAACAAAATAATACTTGTGATGCATTTTTTAAACCTGCATCTTTTGAGCATCGCCATCATGTAATGTATGTGCACTGCTCTTGTTCCAGAAAGTTTCGGTTATTAAGTTATCCAACTAGTAAAGTAATCTTCAGTCATTATCATGATATGCTACAAGCTACAAGTTGCACCAAGAGGGTATTTGAATTTCAAACTCCGCAAAGATCCGGGACAGGCACGCCAAACAACCAGACCATAGCCCACCAACGCGCCGCCTTCTCACTCATTTGTGTCATCAAGATCCTATCAGCGGCATATCTGAGCGCTGTCCGGCGCGGGATCAGACTCCAGAGATGTTGATGGACGGCAGGTGCGAATGATGCCTCATTCATGGAATTTTCACTTGGCGACGTGGGATTCTCGATGAGTGATCGTCTCTGCAGTTCAACTGCACTCAGGGTGTGTGCGTCTGCAAGCGCCCACCAGAACAGTCTGCCGAGGGGCGCTTGGCCGTCATAGAGCTCCATGTTGAAAGAATCAGCGTCAAGCGATGATCGAATGAACTTGAGATAGGATTTTAATAGTCGGATAGTGTCGTTTGCACGGCAGTCTGCAAGTTGTTGATTGCTCTTCCATAGTCGTGATTTGTGATAAGGATGCAAGATGTTTCGCAAGTTGCCCAGATCGCCCAATACCCAGTGGGATTCGTCCCGGACGAATATGTTGTCTGGCTTGATGTCGTCGTGGCAGTACCCGGAGCTGTGGAGGGTGTCCAAAGTGACGAGTAGCTGGTTGAAAGCTGGACGGAACCTTACGTCTCTCTCGTGAACAGTTTTACTCTGCTCTTCCTGCAAAAGTTTCTTCGCAAGCGTATTCAGGTTCCCATTTCTTAGTAATGGAGTCACCAAATGCCATTCCGGAGGATCAGAGGGAGAAGTCGAAATTTTGAAGAAGCCCTCGACCGGTAGGAAGCCGTCTGAGGTACGATTTCTCGTGGTTTGCGAATCGTCCTCGATTTGATTTCCCAGCCCAGTGCCTCCAAAGTAAAGATTTCCTGGAATCTCAGTAGGCCATTTCACATTATCCTCTCCTGGCGCGCAGTTACGCAAAGGGCTTTGGGGTAAGAACGTTTTGATCACGGACTCGTTGTACGTGTATACAGTCCCTTCCCATCCCTTTCCAAGCACCTTCCACAGCGCTCGATGTGCTATGAGATTCTGTTGGAAAGAAGTCTCCTGATTGACCGGCTTTTCGAGCAATGCGCGCGTGGCCTGATAATCGAAGCTGAATGTTGTAGGCGAGTACTTAGCTGCTAATGACAGACGATAAGATGTGTATAGATATTGTTGCTGGAGAAGAGCAAGGATACAAGCCACTATCATACAACGGTATCGGAGGTTATGCATGTATCGGGAGCTATGCGGTATGGAGCTCAGAAAGGGTCGTCCCATGGCGTAACTCTGCGCAGAACGCGCTGGTGCAAGGGAGGAATAAGAGGGATATGTTTTCCAATCCAATGACAGCACACCTCCCTTTGAGTACTCATGAGCAAACGTAGTAAACCATCATGCCAAAAGACTCAAGGAAGTTAAGCGACTTGTTAGGCCTTGCTTGGTTGCCTGAGTGGAGTCGCTGAAGTGTCAGTAAGCCTTTCAGGCACACACGGCCTCTCATCCGCTGATACATGGCTATTTCCAGTGCGGCACTGCAAAGCTCTAACATCGAAATCGAGTATGGCATCGCTTAGGTGGTGGAGGCATTGCTCAATGTTCTTCGGGAGCTTTGCTCGAAACAGGGAACGTAGTGCTAGTGCCTCGGTAGGCGACCACAGCCACACGTGAATGTCCAATTAGCTTGCCCAGTAACGTCCAACTAAGGTCCCGTGGCTTCCATCTATCCTTGAGTATGACGATGACTGGAGGTTATCGAGACTCAGGTCTTGGTGGGTTCAGTCAAGTTTTTGACCGTTCGACGGATGAGGACTGTGCTCTTGGACCTGGGGTGGATCATAGCGGTTACCCACTTTGTTGCAAGGAGCATCGTGGTACCCCGTAAGACTGTAGTTTGCCATCCTTCAAAAACATAGTCTCTCATCTTCGGAATGCCATCCAAGAGAAAGGTAGAAAGGATTGTGGTTGGGAGCCAGGAGCGTGATGTCATAGCCGAGGTTCGAACATGCCCTCGCCTATCAAACGTGCAGTGACTGAAACATGAAATCGACCGAGGGCGCAGTTTATATGACCATGGAATTAGCGCTGCGTGAACTTGTATTTAGCATAGGGTTAGGCTATACTAAGCTCTACTAGCTAGCTAAGCAAGGTTAACTAAATATTATACTATAAGATTTTGTAATATATTCTAAACCTATTCTAAATATATTCTATACTAGTAATACTATAAGCTACTACTACTATACCTATTACTAATATATCCCTTATATCCTATATAAGTAGATTAAAATATATTTAGAATATATTCTTAATAGGTTATAGAAGTACTATTAATAGTACCTTGCCCTTAGCTATATCCTAGATAATATTAGGGTATAGCCTATAGTTAGCCCTAATAGGGTAGTTAAGATAGAAAGTAGAGAGCGCTACTACTATACTAAGATTAATAATAAGGGCACCTTATATAGAGTAAGAATAGGTTCTAAATATATTCTAAATAAGTTCTAATATTCTTAGGCTATTTTAAGTACTAGGGGCACTCTATATACCTATACTAAAAAAGATTATAGGCTTAATATAGCCTACTATAAGGTTAGTAAGGTTAAGAAGACTAGCTAGCCCTCTATAATAGAGGTCTATAAGGTAAAGAGTAAATATATTATTAACCTATTCTTAACTTATTATACTAATATATATAGACTTCTATATAAAGGTTATATATAATTACTAGAACACTCCTTACTATAAGTTATTTAGAATATATTTAAAACTTATTACTAATATATTTTATAGAAGTTCTCTAAGCCTAGCTAGTAGCTACTATAGGCCCCCTAGTAAATACTAATACCCTTCTAAATATAATTTAGAAGAAGACTTATACTAGCTATAATAGTAATAAGGTATAGCCTACAAGAACCTATTAAAAATATATTACTAACTTATTATAGCTTAACTTTATTACTATATCTACCCTACTAAGGATTTAAGGTTATTAGGTTCTTTATACTATCTACGCTTATAATTATCCTAGCTATAGTAAGTTATTTATAATATATTATTAACCTATTCCTAATATATTTTAAGACTATTACTTTAATACTAGTGTAGACCTTACTAATTCCTGCTAGAATACTACCTAGTTCTACTTATAGTATACTTTTATAGAGCCTAGGGAGGATAAGGAGGATAAAGAAGATACTAGAGAGGGGGAGGGAGATAATAATAGTAATAAGTAGGAATATATTAAGAACGTGTTAAGAATAGGTTCTAATAAATAATATATAATAGTATATAACCTAAAGGGGTAGTAGTAATTACTAAAATAAACTCTCTACTCTTCTTTTTTTTTTCTATCTACTAAAAGTAAAGTACTATTTACTTTTATAGGGTCCTTTAATAGTATATAACTTTTTCTTTTAACTTTTATAGGTATTATAAAGCTTTAGTAGTCCCTTAGATTAAAGAAGAATCTAGTATTTATAGGTATCTAGCTATAACGTATTATTAATATGTTCTAAACATGTTTTAAGAGACTAGACTTATATCTCCTTTTTACTACTTTTGCTAAATATTATTTATAGTATAAAGGGGAGCAACTATTTGCTCCTCTTCTTTACTCTCTACTTCCTCTTTAGCCTCTACTCTAGCTACTACTTCTTATTATAGACTAGCTATCTTAGAGGGTTCTTAAACCTTAGAGGAGGCACTTAGTGTAGTCTACTCTACTAGCAGAGAATATATTATTAATATATTTAGAACACGTTCTTAAGCATTTACTATTAAGCTCCTATAGAAGATCCTTACTTCTATAATACCTTGTATTATAGTTCTGCTATAGTTTACTAGGGCTATTTAATCCTTAGGATAATACCTCTTAAAGTAGTAGATAAGATTGCCTCTATTAGAGAAGTAACGCTAAAATAGTTATTAATATATTATAAATGTATTCTAACTCGCATGTATATATACTCTATAAAGTTCCTATACCCCTAATCTAGCCTAAATAGCCTAGTAGAAAAGCTCGCCAGGAAATACTATACACCTATTATTTAGGTAGGATATTATAGGAGAGAATGCCCTAGCATTAGATAGAAGTAACTTAAGCTTAATATATCGCTAGTAACGTTTCAATTAGCGAATGTGCATAACGCTAGCGTAAGACTTACTTTCTCCCCTCTAAAGCTTTTTAAGGTACCTTTGCTTAAGCCTATTAGGAGTTCTATAGTTATAGCGTATTCTAAACTTGCTCTAGGCTTTAAACTCTTTTATATCCTACAGATCTATCTAGTGTGTACTACACAATATTACTTATATAATTCTAACAGGTTAAGAACAGGTTGTAAACTTACTTCTAAGTAGCCTTAAGAATACTTACATGCTTACTAGTTTTATATCCTTTCTAGCCTGCTTGCTTAGCTACATTTAAATAAGATTCTAGTTTTTCCTATACCTCTTTTAATATTTTACTATAGCATTACACAATCCTAGCAGCAATTACTAGGTTTTTCTTATAGATTACCTAGTTTTAGGCATCTTTAGAGGGTTCGTGTTCTAATTATGTAAGAATAAGTTAGGAACATATTTAGAACAGGTTTAGAATATGTTTACTTACGTAAGAGGAGGTTAGCAAGCTAAAAGTATTCCTCTACTATTAATACCTATAGTAATTCACTTAGATATAAAGAGGTAGTATTATCTAGCTCTCTTTTATATACTTTGTGAATACTTCTTTATAGATGTACTTAACAAAATCTTATACAAGATTAAAGTTACTAGCGCTAGTCACGCTTATAGGGATTAATTAACTAGAGATAGCGCCTAAGTCCTAGAAACAAGTTAGAAACACGTTACAAACATATTACAGTGCGCTGTAAAACTTGCCTATTATCTACTTATTACACATGTTAATAGTAGTCCTATAGAATCCCTGTAAGTAAATATGCCTCTATAACACTTATCTTTTTATAAGTGCTTTACACTTCTAAAAGAAGTTAGTAATAGTAACTTAATATATCTTAGTTATATCCTTATCTATAATAATTTAGCTAAGTATAATAACTATAATATATTAGAAATATATTATAAACCTATTCTTAATATATACGCTTCTTTTCCTATAGGTAGAAGATTACTATTAGAATCTCTGCCTATACCCTATATAACCTCTTATATAACATATCTATCTAGAATATATCTTAATCTAATAGAATTAATACCTACTCTTTAAAAAGGTAAATAATTAAGTTACCTAAGCTTAATATAAAGATTTGCTATATATACGCCTATAGTAACGTGTTAGCAATATATTCTAAACCTATTCTCTTATACTATATATAGTTTTAGGATCCTAATGCTTTATCCTCTACTTATAGTATACTCCTCTAAGGCTACTCTTAAATAGGAACTATAGAAGCTTTTCACGCTTTATAATATATAAGATTTTATCTTTATTTATAAAGCTAATATATATTTCTTTAATAGAATAGAAACCTTTAAGTTAGAGATAGGTTTAGAGCTAGGTTAAGTTTAGGAACTAGGCTATAATAAGTTAGGAATATATTTATAATAGGTTACAAATAACTTATATTACGTAAGCTATAGAGTAAGTATAGGCTATAACACCTTTACTACTTCTTTAATATTACTATTAGATAGTGTTAAGGGAGGAGGAGGTATATATATATATATACTAAAAGAAATAATAGTAAAAAAAGGTATTACTACTATATCTATTAGTATAATTACTTAGAAGGTAACTTTATATAGGATTTTAAATAGAGATCCTTACCTTTATAAATAATTAACGCCTAGAATATGTTAGGAATGTGTTAGGAATAGGTTGTAATATACCTACCACACTTCTTTATCTAGCTTAACTATAGCTTAACCACAGAATATAAAGCAGGACTACTAGAAAGATTTAATATCTCCCTAGTTAGAAGACCTTGTAGATATATAGAGTCTACCTCTAGTAGTACCTAACTAAAATAATATTTTTTCCTAGTAGCAGATATTAGGCTATAGTTCTAATAGCTAATATATAGTTAAGCCTATTCTATAATTTACTAACTTATTATTAATATATTTTAAATATATTTAAGTTTTACTCCCTACCTAATTTACTATAGTCCTTATTATAGGATAATAAGATACCTAGTAGTCCTTATAAATCCTTAAAAAGAAGCGCTTAATAAGGCTATAATAATAGCTTCTTATTTATAGTTCTCTTTGTAGAATTTTCTTAGGTACTATACTTTTTAAGGTTTAGATCTAATTATATAATATATTATTAATAATATAATAAGAACATGTTTATAATATATTCTTAAGATACTTACACACTTTTACCCTAGAGTATTAGTATTTATACTAGCTTACTAGCTAGCTATTAAAGAATAGTAAAGTTGTAGGCCTATTAAGATAGATAGACTAGTAGGAGTATTATACCTACTAGAATTAGAATAATTTAAGAACGTGTTCTTAACATGTTACCTATATAGCCTGTATAAGCACCTCTTCTTCTTATTAGGTAAGAGCTATCTTTATATTACTAAACTAGTATTATATACCTATACCTTTAGCTATATAATTAAGGGTATACTAGGAGAATAGCTATATACTTAATAATTACTAGTATAAGTAGTAGTCCTTAACTATTACTATAAGTAAGGTATATATTATGCCCCTATAATATATTACTAACCTATTCTAAACTTATTCTATTTACTTTTACTTACTTCCTTAATACTACTACTACTATCCTTCTCTAGCACTTTATATAGTTACCTAAATTTATCTCTAATATTACTATCTAGTTTAGATATATTATCTAGTACTACTATACTAAACTCTAGTATAGTATTTAGGAATACCTATATATTATTAAGAATAGGTTTAGAATATATTTAAAAAAGATAGTAATAAAAACTACGTTTACTTACTTAAATTACCCTAATTTATACTTAACTATAGGCTAGTTTATATAACTATAAAAATTTGCTGCTATAACGTGGACTTGAACCTACAGGGATATTCTAACCACTTAGAGTAAAGCCCAAGTCGCCCGACGCTAAACCCATGGTCATATGACATGCCACCACAAATCGACCCCACCAAGCGCTTGCATTGCCATCTCATCCTCGAAATTACCAGTCATATCAGTCTAAACGACATCATTTCGGAACTTCGGACTCGAAGGCCTCACTTCAAAGTAGCATAATCCCACACAATTCGTCCCATAGAATCATGGCCACGGAAGCGCGTTCCGTCGAGAACAGGAACCGCTTGGTGTCTCATTTCGATGAGTACAAGTACGTTTGCGTGGCAATTATATCATCCCTGACTATCGCTAACCTACTCTCAGGTCCCGCGATAAACAGAGTGCAGGCTGGTCTAGCTTGTGGGAATCCAACGAATCTGACTTGTGGGATCGTGGCCGACCCTCACCAGCCTTAGTTGCATTTCTTGAAGACCATCCAAATGGTAAAGATCTTCTGGCTCAGGATAAGCCGCTGAAGGCCTTCGTCCCAGTATGGATTAGTTGAATCGAACTGCATATTCCACTGCTGAGATGAATATTCTAGGGATGCGGCAGAGGTCATGATGTCGCCATGCTCGCTCTCCATGGCATTGAGACTTGGGGACTAGAAGTGGCCGAGGATGCCGTGAAGATAGCAAACGAGAATGTCAAGTCCCAACTGCAAAACCCCGCGCCTAGCAATTTTGGTGCGAACGCAAGCCGACCAGTATCGGCAGGCGCAAAGGTCATTTTGGGGGATTTCTTTCAAAGGGACTGGGAGTCTCAGATCGCAGCAGACTTCCAGGGCTTTGATATCGTTTACGATTATACCGTCAGTTCCTCTGTTCTATATAAGGGAAAACATTCATTACTCGTTACTGAAAATGTCTAGTTCCTATGCGCATTGCTTCCCGAGATGCGAAAAGATTGGGCCGAGCGCATGTCGCAACTTCTTTCACCCACCGGAGTGCTCGTCTGCCTAGAATTTCCCATGTGGAAGCCTCTAAAGGCGCCAGGTCCCCCATATGGCCTCAAAGGTGTTCACCAGAACCTGCTTGCTGAGGGTGGTAATGGCACGATTGATGAATCAGGCCAGCTGACAGGGGGAAGCCCAGGCAAAGGAGCATTCGAACGAATCACATATTGGAGCCCACCCGAATCATTTGAACAAAGTCGTGGCGAAGACATGATCAGTGTATGGAAGCTCAAGTAAACTTTGGTGTTGGAGGTCGAAAATATATACACGAAGCAAAGTCACAACCAATCAATGTTTTTACATGCCATCTGTAAGCATGGCCTCCACAATCTGCACATGGCGATCGGCATTTGTCTCGCTCCACTCCGAGTCAAAGTTCAACCCATACGGCCAAAAATGTCTTCCTCCACACGTAATAGTCGCAGACGGACCATCAAAGCTCCTTAACAAAGGCAGCGCAGTCTTCCAGTCACCAGCCGCACACTTCCTATCAAACGCGGCAGTCTGACCCACCCCCAACGTATGGCTAATCTCATGCAACGCTGTGCGCTCATTCATGTACGCACGGTTTGTCCCGAAGCGTACATCTCCATTGTAGTTTGCTTCTGCCGTGGGCACGCCCGGGACATATGCGACGCGGAGCGTCTTGACAGCGTCAGAGAAGCGTGCATAGCGTGCAACTGCTTTGGTCATTGCATCTTCGATTTTGGCGTATGCGTCACTTTGGTCGGCGGTGGGGTTCGTCGTCTTTTGGAGTGTCCATGTTATGGCTGCAGAGGTGCTGGAGACGTAGGCCGCGAGTACGAGAAGGGCAGAGAAATGCATGGTGAGATATATATATGAGGAGGGAGCCTGAGCAACGATGGACTGAGAGTATGTAAATTGATAGGACGGTAGGTAAAACTGAGACAGGTAAGGGCGAGAAGATATGTAAATGTTGCTTTTGCAATCCTACTCTCGAGAACCACCATCGATCCCTCAACATACCGGTAGTACATACACCACATCCCTTCTCCTCACCTCAGATCCCTAATTAACTTCTAACAACCCAGCCATATTTCACGCAACTCTGGGCGACCAAAATACCATTCATAAGCCCTACAAATATGGCTGTACACCCCAAAACAGGCGAAGCCAAGCCCCCCAAGACGGAGGTCGCGTCACCTTCCAATCACCGCCCACCCCATCCATCCCTCAAACCAAACACCTGCCCAAACAGTGTAAACAAACTGTCCATCATGATCTTAAAATACGTGTGCCTAAAAATGCCGTCTGTTTCGGAGGGACCGGCATACCGGTACGTAGCTAATTACGTTGAGTGGGTGTGATTCTGAAACAGCAAGGGTCAGAGAACACAATCCCCAGTTTCCTTGTTTCTCCCCCCCCCGCAGTTCCGGTACCTAGGCTTGCATGCTAGATCAGATGTATATTATTTGATATATCTAAAATATTTAGTACCGTATGATGGCTCAAGCGGTTATGATTTGGCCTGTGCGCACATGGCGAAAAGGCAGGATCCCAATGTCGCTGTCCCTCATAGATGTTCTCCTATGTGCACTATGATGCTGTTATGCACTATATTTTACATGGCGAAATTACTCTGCAGTATAAATACTTTGTCGGAATCAATCACTTTTACTCCATTGCCTCCTGCAAATGATGCTGTAGCTGCTGCGCAAGCAAGTAATGGTGAGGGAATAAAAGAAGCTACTTTCAGCTGGGCTGTGATCACCTTAAAGGGAGCTTGCTTCGGTCCTACTCTAGCCCTACGGTTGATTTTGGATTACATGGTTAATTCGCGCTTTGCGGAGGGAGGGGAGATGCGTTTGCAGTGTTAGGATGCGAATGCTACGGATAGGATTCTTTTTGGTTGGAGTTTGGATACGGTAAGGCACTAGACAGAGTCATGGTAAGATCAGATACTCAGATTACCTACTTACGTGGATATCGTCATCATGTCTTGCACATAGCTGGTAGCCAAGTAGATCAAATGTCAGGCACGTTATACGGTAAATAGTAGTCACCGGCCACAGTAGACATGTGTAGCACAGTCTTACAACCACGGATGCAGAACTACATCCCTCAAACATAACCTAGTCAAACTACCATCAGTCCTAGCACTCCAGTATGCTGATTCCGATGCTCCAGGAACAACATCGTACTCTTCCAGAAATTGACCAATCATGACTTGTTGCATATGGCCGCTGGCTACAGTGACTAGTCTCGCAATCCCTACCGCTGTAGCAGTACACGTAACACGACCCACAAGCTCGACAAGCGTGATATAAAGAATCCTAATGTCTCACATCAGATATCTAGAAGATATTGCGCTGTCATATTCACAAAGAAATGCCTCATGCACCATGCTCTTCACTCCACTCCACCCCAGCTGCCAAGTTCGCCTGGGATAGTTATTGCGCGTACTTGGCGATGGTACAAAGGGCTGTGCCTTCAAATTTGTAGACATGTGTTCTATTTACAACACGTTTCGAATTTAGATCGAGTAATTATCACGAAGAGACGAAATCGTCCTCATCTCTTCCAGTATCATCTTGCATTCGCCATTCTTCTGCACAAGATGTTGTAATCATTCCTCGTTCATACGATTCCGTTTCGCAAATCAAGCTGGGGGAATATGCAGCCCACCAAATTAATACTGAGAAGATCACTGGCTGACTCTTGAACATGCTGAAGGTGGCAGACATTCAAGTACTTGACTAGTCAGAGAAGGGGGTTCTTATTTGACGGAGAGCAGACCCATGGGATTATTCGTTCTTCTCTACGGGTAAATCTTTATGATGAGCGCATAACCTCTATCTTACAACGTCGTCTTCCCAACAACTCCTCTCACTCCTGGTCCTGGACTTCATCTTGCTCTCCTTCGTCTTTTTCGTCTTTTTCATCTTTGTCCTCGCCAGTCTCATCATCAGGTGGCATGGAAACAGGGAACGACAGGTGTTTCCAGTCCTCAATCTAAGACAGATTAGATCTTATCAGATTAATACAGGTGTGTATTCTTACCTCCTCAGTAATACTCCTCAGACGATCGCGAATGCTGTCGACAGCATAGCTCCCCAAGATCAATCTCAAGGGCGGATATCTGCAGTGACCTAGCTGCCACACCAGCTCGGCGCTTCTCACACTACTCACGGGCTGTCTGTCATTCAGCCACTGCACCAACCGCCGCGCGTGTTGCGCAGGATTTGTTACCCCAGAATATGGTTCGCTTGGGTTTGGCTTCACGAAAAAGTGTCCGTATCGCTTCGGTTTAGGAGGGCCTGATCCAATCATGGGCGCTGAAGTATAACTCGGAGGTATCACGTGGTCATCCGGCTCGTCCAGCCGCACATGCCCAGGCTCAACAAGAGTCGCCTTGATATTGAAGACGTCAATCTCGTAAAGCATCGACTCGATAAGACCCTCTACGGCGTACTTTGTTGCGCAGTAGGGACCAAGACCCGGTACACCAAGCGCACCAGCGGTCGAAGAGAATATGAGATAGCGGCCAGAGTTCTGAGCGCGAAAATATGGGAGAGAGAGTTGGATGATGTGCAGGGTGCCGAGGAAGTTTGTATTGAACTGATTGCGCAAGTCGTAGTCGTCCTGGTCTTCGCAGGCTGCTATGACGCCGAAGCCGGTACTGTTCGCGATGACATCCACGCGGCCCCAGTACTCCATGCTTCGTTTTATGACCTGGTCTACCGTCTCACGTACTCTGACATCGCATAGTAGCCCCAGACAATTCGTGTCCTGCCACTTATCCATCTGTTCTGCCGTATTCTCCTGCGTCCAGCCGACTGCCGTACATTGATCACCGTGTGCCAAGACAGCGCGCACAAGGGATCGCCCCATATGCCCAGTAGCTCCAAAGACCTAGGGAGGATCCTTTTAGCTCCTTGATCCGAGTTGGCTGGTGGACGGTACTCACGATCCATACTGCGCGCTTTGGTGGATTGTGGTCGGAGGGAGGATCGCAGGTTGAAGGCAGCCGCAGGGAGGGATTATGGATAGCGGCGCCCGGCGACAGACTCTGGCTAGCGGTATCGAAGTCCATCAGAAGATGGGAGGAGTTGTGCGTTCATTGTCGAGGCTCGAGAGGATGCTGTCTGTCCATGGGCGCGGGCACCGGGTACCGGTAACGTTAGGTGTGCTGTCTCAGCCAATCGGAGACGCTGAAAGTGCGGTAGTTTGAATTGCCTTAACACCGAAGGAAAACGGAGGAAAGATGGCAGGAGCCGCGATTTGTGATGGAGACTCTCTGTTGAGGACTCGATAGGCAGATTCGAACAGACTAGGATGCGGCAGTGGGGATCATGTGCGGAATTGGTCTATGGTGTTCGGTCGTCCGTTGATACCCAGTGCTGCCTCCTGTTCAAGGCATGATGAACCTCCTCTCATCGAGCAGGAAGCGCAGAGCGTCAAAGAACAACTGGCTGGGATGAGCATGTTGGCGGTTCATGAAGTTGCTGACTAGGATGAAGAACATGATGAAGATGTCCAAGTGCATGGGCGATGTGAGGAAGAAGTGGTAGGCCAGGAACAAGAAAGCCTGTGCTCGATACCTGCGCTTGATATTGCCAATGACGCACGCTGCCCGTGCCGCCTGCTTCCCCCCAGCGGCTCTTTGAAAGCGGACAATCTTACGGAAGTAGGGCATGCTACACGGCCGACGGGGAAGAACACGATAGAGGGGGGATGGTGGTGGTGGTAGTGGTAATGGGGAGATCAGAGGACCGGATCGTGGAGACGGGGGGGGGGGGGG